GTTCTACTCCTTGCAGTATTGCTATGATAAAATAGATTTTGATAACTTGCTGCTGCCATTATTCAGCAATACATTATGAGAAAAATGAGCCCAGTCATTCCTTCATATTTTGCTACTAATATCCATTATATCGAGTCTATAACTGATACAAACATTTCTTTTTTTCTAACAGTAAATATGCTCATTTTGGATATCCATGAGCTTGTTTTTTCTCACAGGTGATGATGTACCTGGGCAGGGCTTGATAACTGCTAAATATGACAGAGATGTTAGACCCTCCACTCACACTGTCAAACCTAACTTGTGGATCTGTCCCTTTAGCAGGTGGCAGAATGAGACCTCGCTGACCCTCGGTGGGCGTCCCTCTCAGCACGTCAGCCTCCACAAAGTACAAATACTTATCCTTTTCCTCCTTCCAAACATCCATGGCCTCCTTCACTGTCCCAGCAAAGTAGATGCCTTCTCCATATTTTGGGTCTAGATCCAGACAGGGATAAATATCTTTTGTTACTAGGTGTGTTTTAATTATATTATCTGTAGCTTTGATATATATAATGTTAGCATACCTTCAGGTGGTGCACACTCTGCATGGGAACCAATCTGGCTAACCATCTCACAGAACTGTGCAGGTATGCGCTGAAACATTTTCTCAGAGGAGCACCCCAGCTGGTTTTTCTTGAGGTCAAACAGCTTCTTCAAGTTTGAGTTCTCCACTTTATCCACCTAAAAATAAAACATTTCATTTTGAAATAAGGCACAAGGCTTATTTATATAGAGGAAGAAAGTAATAAAGCTTAATAGTAACCCACGAAAAGTTGAGGAACATTTTATGAAACATAATTTACCTTTAATATCCACAGACCAAGATTTCTAAAATCAGATATTCTTTCTTTGAACTCCCGGCTTGAGTTGTCCACTGTTTTTGTCTTTCTTTCTCTTTCACGTGGCACTTCAGCTAACAACTTGCACATTTCATCCTTTTCCTCTCTGACAAACGCCTCCTGGACAGTGCAGAGCATGGCCTCCGCCTGCAACGCAGCATCCACAACATCCTCAGCCGAATCCCCATCTACTGTTAGGCAGGCGTGACCCTTGGACAAAAACTCCTCACACTTAACACCCTTTCTAGTTAAATGAGAGAGCTGCAGGTATTCTCTTTCACCGAGGTGCTGGATGAAGTTGTTGTAGATAACCATGGGGCGAGGGGGCCTGATGAGAAAGTGAGTGAGCCATTTTTCAGCCTCATGTAGTGATTCTTTAGAATAGCTTCTCAAACTGATCTTTGGAATTGGAGCTTTGTTGAATCTGAAGTCTTCTTTGTTATCATATGCTGGTGGAAAAGGCAAAAAGAAACATCCTTACTCATACCACTGGACTCTATGGAAACTCAAGCTTTGATATATGCTACTTTTTTTTAATACTTGTATCTTGACTAAGAAAGCTATTCATTTAGGACACATTCATTAGCCTTGCTGATACATAGCATTTCTGACCTTGCCTATGGGAGCTGAAGTGTTTCACTTCATCTTGTGTGATGCTGGTATGGGGTGTGTTATGCTGGAGAGATTTAATTTTTTCCTTGAAGGCCTGGAAAGAAAAGGGCATTAACAATATATTTCTTAGCATGCGACAATTTGCAAAACATTAATAACATTTCTCTTTGCTTTTTTTGCAACTTATGCCTAAAAATAATCGTTGTTTAAAATATTACAGATCAGATATGGTAACTGACATGGTAATTTGAATCTAAATTCTTGAAAACATTTTTGAAATACAACCTGAAATGTGCCATAGTCTGAAGGAAATATGACAAAATAAATCTCCATCTTCCCCCCAAATTGTTTGGCAAACTCAACCACTGCCTCGGACATAATGCATGCAGCTTCTTTTTTAGTGAACCCAAGGTTTCCTGTGCCAATAGCAGGAAAGGCGACAGACTTGTGTTGACTTGCAGCTGCTGTCTGTAAGCATTCCAATACTGAATTGAAAAGAAACTGTAAAATAAATGGAGAGAAAGATGCAATTAGATTTGTGAGTCCAATGAGACTCCTTAACACTTTGGAGTGCATCATGATTACTATAATACACCAGACTTTCTATTTCCATCAAAATGATCCATAACGTATCAACTTATAATGTACCTTATGTGCTGCTTCTTTTCCATTATTAATGCAAAATGTATGATACACCTCTCTACACCCCAAGTTGTAGGCTTTTGTGACGATGATATGTTTAGTCCGAGGAGCATTTTCTATTTCATCTTGCATTTTCTGACCAGCTTTCTTCAGCAAAGCTTTAGAGACCTGACCGACTTTCAGGTCTCGTTCCAGTGATGTTGTGTTTACAATGACATCGGTCTGAAAGGATACAAAAGATGCTTAGAAATAAAAAAATTGTGCTAGAACAAAACTGTGGATTTTAGGTACTTTATATCTTCATAAATCCTAAAAATAGCTAACTCAAGCTCAATATACAAGAAATGATTGGCATGAAGGTAACCTAAACTTGTCATTCAACTAAAAAGTAAATAGCAATCAATAAAAATGATTATTTTGAAGAAACAATACAGATTTTTACCTTCTGTTCTTCAATGTTATCACTCTTCAGTGCCAAAAGGACATTCCTAATCTGGATGGAAATGTTAGATGTTTTGGTAGCACCACTGGTGTGGGTTCCTGGTGCCTGCCCTTGCGGTGCTAACTGGTAGTGCTGGTGAGGGGCTAGAATCTTATGGCAGGCGTTCATCATTTCTGTGACCGTTGGCTCATCGTGGTTCACAAAGAGTATCTCTCGAGGAAGATTCCAGCGGGAAGAGGAGAATTCATAGTAGTCTCTCACAGTTGATACTATAGTTTCAGCACATTCTGACAGGGGGTAGTTGAACAACCCAGAGCTTATAGCTGGAATGGCAACAGTGTCCAGTTGATCTTTTTCAACTCTGTCAAGAATGCTCCTGATAGCCTGCTCCAACTGTCGTTTGGCTAGTGAAAATTCAGAATGAGTGGGCTTAATTGGCAGACATGGACCCACAGCATGAATTATCTTCTTGCAAGGCAGCATCCCAGCATTAGTGACAATTGCTTCTCCTGTTGGTATGGAACCATGTTTGTGTGTGTAATCATCACACTCTATTTGGATTTGAGGACCACCAGCTTCACACAGAGCATATGCAAGGCCACCACCATGATGAAGATTGGAGTTGGCAGCATTAACAACAGCCTTTACTGTGAAATTGGTGAGATCAGCCTTCCACACGGACACCTCAACGCCTGCACGCAGCTTGACAGAAAACCTCTTCTCTGGGGCAACAGTCTGCCTCTTCTGCTGTCCAAAACTCACATCACTCTCAAAATCCACACCTTTGAAGGCGGCCTCACATCCAAATTTTCTTTCAAGGATATGACTCAGAGCAGATCTACTTTGTTTTACAATGTTGAGTGAAGATTCATGAAGAACAATATCTGATGTATGGGCCATGGTTCCTGAAGAGATCTACAGAAAAAGATTGTGTAGGTGAATCACAGAATGACAAGAATCACACCTCAGGGTTTTAGAATGAATCAGGACCATATGCACGGAGTGAGCATAAATGACACACCTTTAGCAAACAAATAATTGAAGCTGAAATCTATCTAAGAAGTTTGTACTGTTGTGGATTTAGTTAGTGCATTAGTATTATTTCACAATATTGGTCTATCAACGGTTTAGACTATATTTTTAGTGTATGCACATATATATTACCACTCAGGTCAGGGTCATTTAGAAATGTCCTTGTTTTTGAAGGAAAAACACAGTTATTTTTAATCTAATACAAGAAAGATTATAACTAATTACTTAATGGTCAACAGAGTCATTAGTTGGCCATTAATTTGACTGATCAGTTAGGCTCATGTTAAGTCAAAAGGGATGTTATTGAGAATGTCTTCAAATCAAATAGTAATTGCAGAGGAGTTATTAATCCAAACCAGAACACCATAAATTTTATTAATAAATTAAAGTATAGGAAAGTAGGCAAGAAATTGATTACTGTTTAAATAAAAACACATTATTCAGCATATTATTGTAATTTTATTACATTACTTTTACTATATTACAAAAGTACATAAATTTCTCTGTACAGTATGTGTGGAGCCTGTGTGCAACTTTTATTTTCACTGGAAACACAACCACCAAAAACCCATTCACTCTAGGCTGCACACTTTGGGGTTAGTAGTAATGATAATACCCATATTTATTTAATACTTTTTACAGTGTCATCAAATCAAACATATTCTCCTTTGCGACGAGCAATAACTTGAAATGAAGGGGCGTAGGTTTCCATAAATTGCTGTTATACCTTCACTACAGTAGAGGGAGACAAAGACGAACAAATGACACTCTGACTTAGGGATTTTTTTTTTTTTTACCAGAAACAAAAGGTTGCACACCTGCATACGTCAATATAAACAGTTTATTGTGCTTAAATAGCGCTTGAAGCTTTTTTTTTTAAATAAAAAATATTTTGATTAGTTTCTTAAAATAGCACCCTTACACGAAAAGAAGAAAAATAAATCTTATATTGTTTCGCGTTTGTGTGACGTTTCACACAAACTGTCAATGTCGACTTTTATTCAGCGAAAACCCCGAAAACGTTGACGAGTCAACAAAACAAGTTGCTGGATGCAAATGACTAGCGAACCCTAATCGATTACACAGAAAAACCATTAATTTAAATAAATCATAATTTTAGTTTAAACAAATAAAGAACGTTTATTGCGCAGACGCCAGATACTCACCGTCGCACACTTTCAGCTGGAAAGTACCGAAGTGAAGGAGAAAGCGAAAGAATGAAAAGAGGGCGCGGACGTCTCCAAACGGTGGACCGCAGCCAAGTGTAAAAAGTTGTTTTTTCAGCCCTTTCTCTGTAGCTGCACCCTGTTCTGAGCCAACCCTTCAAGGCCAAACTCAACAACACGCCAATAAAAACTGCGTTTCGTTTCATAGGAAACAAAAGTGAAACTAGTTCAGAGCAGACAGCAGCCGGCCTGCGAAGATGGCTGGCGTACACTCCTATCCTCTGCTCGTTGAGCTCGAAGAAACCAACATTCCCAGATTAAAAATCAAGTTAGTGAAATACTTTCAAAGTAAGAAATCTAACGGTGGTGGCGAGTGTGAGGTGGAATATGAAAATGGCAGCAGGACGGCGATGCTGCGCTTCCGGAGAGAGGAGGGTAAGCTTGTCACAATAAAGTCATGTTTACTTTATTTAAGCAGCTACAATATCATTTATTATCAACGAAGTTATGTGGTGACATGTGTTTGTGCTGTGTCACAGATCAGAGAAACGTTCTGGCCAAAGAGTCGCATCAGATCAGTTTGGAAAAAGGCGTTTTGAAACTGACGGTTCGCTTACCCACGGAAGAGAAATCATCACGGGTGCGAAAAGTTTGTCATGAATCATTTATCAACAGCTGTTCTGTTCTGTGTACCTCAAATCTGTTCTTATATTGACGATGCTATTTATGAGATAAGGTTTCACTGTTGATAAGTGCACCGTGAAACCTGCGCACCTCTAATTTCTGTCAGACCCTCCTGTTCTCAAAAGGAAATGCGAGAGTATTCAATTCCTCAGTTTTGTGTGACCCTTGAGCCCCTCTACAAACTCCAAATTATCAGTCAGTTCCATTAAACGTAAATCAGACCATGTTTATCTTTTACTGGAAGTCATGTGACTTTATAAAGCTAAAGCTGTGCTGCACACTGCTTCTCTTCCTGTCGTGCGGATACTGTAAAAGTCAAACTCACTGCTCGGAAAGCATTACTGGGTGCGGTTTGCTCGACAAAGCTGATAATGAATTTGTTTGCATGAATTACTTTTTGGACCAGCAAATATTTACGGCGCTTACACACACACACACACGCTCGCTATAATTCTAAACAAATGTGACTAACGTGTATTTTTTGTATTTTCTTTATACAGGAAACTCCATCTGATAAAGATAATAAGAAATGTAAGTACTGAGTGAAGTGAACAGAACTGTGTTTATAACCACTAGTGTAAGATCAGGAAGTCCTTTCACTTGTCCACCCCTGTAGTTTATCTACTTTTTAGTATACACCACTGTCCACTTTATTAGGTACACCTTGTTAGTATCCTATTGGACCCAAATTCTGACCCTAACATACAAATATCATCAGATTAATCAGACATTGCTACACTTTCAAAAAAAATGATTGTCCAGTTTTGGTGAGTCTGTATGAACTGTGGCCTCAGTTTTCTGTTCTTAGCTGACAGGAATGGAGAACAGTGTTGGTCTTCTGCTGTTGTAGCCCAGCTGCTTCAGTCTGTGACATGTTGAACTTTTCAGTATCCCTCAGTTGTAACAAGTGGTCTGACCATTATCCTCTGATGGCTGAGATCACAGAGCCATTGCTGCCCCACAGAACTGCTGCTCACTGCAAATTTTCTCTTTTTTGACCATTCTCTATAAACCCTAGAGGTGGCTGTGTGGGAAAGCCCCATAGTTTGTGAAATATTCTGATCCACCCACCTAAACACCAACAACCACAATATATACTAGAAAATCTCTAGGTTACACTTAGCAGGCTAACTGTGCCAATGTTAGCTATTACTGCAGTAAATGATAGTTGTACATCTTTGCTTTGAGCCATTACATGCTTTACTGATGGCTAAAGTTAGCGCCATTTGAAATCATTTAGTATCATAGGTAAAGCAATTTCACAAGCTAGCATTTCTACTTATGATTTTACTACTGATGACTTTCGCAAACAACGTTCTGTTTTCCAGCTAGTTGTTAACTTAACACTTCACAAATCTAGCAGTGCTACTTTGTGACACTGGAAAAGCTGAGTTAACACAACAGCCCTGGGCGTTTGAATTAATCAAGTGATCTCATCCACTCGAGGCAGGTTGTCTCAGGTAGTTTTCTCAGACATTCACTTTTTTTTTTTCATATGAATAGCAACTGCCCACCACCAAACACCATTTGGAAATAATCAGTGTTTGTATTGTATTACAAGTCCATCATCTCCTATTTGGCTTGCCTTCCATTTATACTGTTTTAGTTGAGTTATCATTTGAAGTTAAATATTTGTATAAAGGAATTAATTCAATACGTGTGAGGCCACTGAAAGTACCTCAGGTTCTGTGACCCTTTCTGAACTAGATATAGCTAGCTTGTGATTTGTCTGTTTAGCTAGCATTAGTAAGTTGAAAACAAAACAAAAAAAACTGAATCTGTGGATCAGAGATTAGACAAGCTGACAAGCTTTATGAGATAAAACTGCCTCTCCCTCAATAAAATATCCAAAGCTTCATGCTGTTTTAACATGGTGTGCTTTACACTTCAAAACTGGTAGGATACACTAGATGTCTCCTAGACGTTACGTCAATAAGACCATACAAAGTCTGATTATTTTTTTAAGTCAATATTAATGATTATTCTTATTTTAATTAATTTATTGATTAGTGTGAGGCAATAGCTGTGAGTGAAACACCAAAATAAGTCATTAAAATATAAGTGTTTTAGTCTTGCACTATCTAAAAAGTATATGTTTGTTACACTTGGCCACATTTGTCTTTAACAGCAGATGTCGCTGCAGACAAACAGCCGAGTGCTGGTAAAAGCAACCCGACAGGCAAAGTTGAAACAGAAACAGAAGGCGGAGACGATGATACAGCAGATGAAGAGCCATGTTCCACCTCAGCCGTTTTAGGGAATATTCTTGATAATACCAACCAGGAGTTCTTGGAGATGCTGGTGGAAAACATCACAAAATCTCATGACTTCACTTTGGAATTCTTTCCTGACATCTCCTCTGCTGTGGTGACTTTCCAGAGTGGAAAAGGTACCCATTTCAGAATGAAAAGTTCTTGTTTATGATATGATAAGATAAAGTTTAACCGGCCGTTTGATGCTGAAATCTGAATTGCATAACCAGGTCCAACACTCATTAACATTAAACAACATAAAAATATGCCACAAAAGTAATAAAGGAATTTTCCAGGACAATGTGGCCATTTTATTTGCCTGAGCTAGAATGACAAAGTTTTCTAGCGCACTAATGCACAGGATAGCAAAGCAACACAGACTACTGGTAGTGTAATGTTGTGCCAGCTATATATAT